GGCATTGGGAGGGTGTCTTCCCCACAACCCTGACCCGATGGTTGTGGGGGTCTGCGGGCAGGGGGGCTTATTTGCATCGGGGTACCCCTTTAAGGGGGCAACCAGATGCTGATACTGGATTACATCGATGGAGCCATTTTGTTTTAAAATAAAAGGAACTGTCGAAAATGTACTTTTTTTTCTAAATTAAAGGATTTCTTTCTAAGAGTGTGGTTTGTTTATTTACATTGACTATAAACCTTTTAGTGAATGGGTAGGGGTACACAAAGGGGGGGGGGCAGCATCTGGGTGCCTTAAAGGGGTAGCCCTTTAAGGCACCTAGGGGTACCCCAATACAAAAAAGCCCCCCTGACCGCAGACCCCCACAACCACCGAATCAAAGTTGTGGGGAAGAGGCCTTGTCCCCATCGGCCTAAAGGGTCTGGTATCAATAGGGGGGGGGGACCTCACTCTTTTTTTTCCTCTTCTGCAGACCTAAAAAAAAAGTAATTTCTTTTTCTTTTGTCTAATGTCACTTTGCTGCAACGAAAATTCTTTCGGAACTAAAATTTGTACATACTACCGCTTTCGTATGAAATTTTCGTTATCTGAAATTCAGATTCGTTTTCATTCCTCTTTTGGAGACTCGGATATATCAGAACCTCCGAATAACAAATCTTTCCGAAATGAATCGCACATGTCTACTCCATTTTATTCCTACATGCATAGCTGAACTCAGCATTTACCCATTTTGTATATAAAGTATACATTTTTGTGTATTGCTGTAATCTAACTGCTATTCAAGTTGCAGTATGTCAAATCTGTTGCACTTCCAAGGCTGGCATTGTTTTATCTGCACTCTAGTTAATTAGCTAATTTGACGTAAAATAATAAATTGCTTTATTCTCTCTATTTTGTTTTAAGAGAACCAACCACACTTTAAAACAATACATATAGCTGGGATTTTGTACATGCTTCGATCAAAAAAGCTAATTTTGTACTGGACTGTAAATCCTGACAACACAGCAAACTAAATAATGTGTTGCAACATGACAAATAAAGTACTGTGTGCAAGGGGATATGTAGCATATCTCAGGAAAGGCAGAATCTCCAAATGCCATTTACCTTTCCAATCAGCATGCCCAACACACATTTATTGTACCCAGATATGAAGCACAATGATAGTAATGGGGACGGTCACAAACAAAAACACAACGAGAAATTCATGGGTGAAAATGGGAGACCTGTATAACATTTCAAGGACAAGTCATATAGACAAAACAGCAGTGTCCCTTGCCCCTGACAATGATTTAAATACAATCTCTATTAAGACATGTACTGGAGAAAACTCTAACTATGCAACAACCTTTATTTAAGGGTCACAAAGTTAACTGATGTAAAATGTTTTTGATACATTTAGTTAAACATAGAAGCTTTCAAGAATAACTATTACTGTATGGACTAAATGGACACAGTATTTTCCAATGTTCAGTAATCTAAGGGAAACTGACTGCTGTCATTTTAAAGCTTTTTTAATTTCTAAAATAGTAACCAATATATTGAGAATGTAAGGCTGCACAGCAAGATTAACAAATTTCCAATTTTCATTTTCAAGTTTGGTGACATCTACACATGTATTTAAAAAATGCCAATTCAAGGTCTATTATATGAACTATAAACTATAACTATAAAGCGACATCTTGAAGGAGATGCCAAACTTAAGCTAAATGTTTGTAAGTTAGAAATTAAGTTAAAATCATCTGTTTATTAACTAAGCACATTAAGGTTTATATCTGTTGCTGGTAACCCAGAGGAATTTTTCATAAATGCATAAATCCTGTATGGCGGACACAATAAAGTTCACCACTACACAATTTTGTTTATGACACTGTACCTCTGTCTGGAGAATTAAGTAATGTTGCGGATGAGGTGGAGAGTCGCTTGTTAATAACAACGGGATCAACATGTTTCGAAAGGTTCATTGTTGAAACTGACCTCCTGTCTGGATCTAAAACAAATGGAAATATTGCTAATTGGTAGCACTTGAATATAAGGTATTCCAATAGGGAAAATTAGAGTACTGTTTGTATACTTTCTCTGTAGAAGATCTGAATGCAGCACTCCAGTCAGACTAGGCATCAATAAAAATTCCATTAATAGGGAGGACGGCAATAATACTAAATTGAGCTAACTACTTAGAAAATTGTTGTATGGTACCAGTCTGGCCTGTTCAGTCTACCATTATATCCATTAATTAATTTTACCACAATAACAACAAATTAATAAATTGTTACTGCAGTTGAAAGAAATTAAAGGGCAACAACTGAACATTTTAATAAACAATTACTATTTTTATTCTCAATTAAACAGACTGGAAAAAAAAAATTAAACACAAAATGTGGCATTGGAAATATGCTTGGGACCTTGTCAAACAGCAGTTTGTGACCTATTCACCAGGTCAGCAGTTTTTATTGGCCATTGAAGTTATGCATTACAGTGATGAGCCAGCAATGTAGTGCATGAGGGGCTTGATATTTGCATACTGGAACACCCTAGAATTCAGCTAACTAGGAAGTTGCTTTACCTGTCAGCCAAACTACAGGCATTAGTTCCAGAAAGTCTAGTTTATGTAGGTATTGTGTTGCTTACTTCAGAATGGTAAAATTATTTTACAGTTAATTTGCCATTTGTGACTTGGCTTCATAGTGACAAATGGCAATCATGTTTGTGCAAGCAACGCACAGTGAAATGGTGCACCGCTATTCCCATGACAGATAAAGATTGCTACAGATCCTCTGTAGAGATGAGTTTCTTAGTATTACAGAACATGACTGACCATATCAGGTGTCCTGACACTAGGGATACAACGATACAGATACTAGTATCGGCATTGGCGCCGATACCGTTTATTTGGGCAAGTACTTGTACTCGCCCAAATGCTCCGATACCTTCTGTAAATTTCTTCTGACCGACAGTGCCGCGAGGAAACATGGAGCCGGCTTCCCAGCCAATCAGGAAGCCGGGCGGCGGGTAATGACTCGACACCTGGCTTCCTCACTGGCCGGGAAGCCCACTCAATGCTGTTTGGCTGGGTTCATGACAATTGGCTGGGAAGCCAGCTTCCCGGCCAAACAGCATGCAGTCAGCTTCTCAGCCAATCAGGAAGATGGGCAATGACCCGCCTCCTGGTTTCCTGATTGGCAAGGAAGCTGGCTTGATGCTGATTGGTCAGGAAACCGGCTTCCCGGCCAATCAACATCGATCTGGCCAAACAGCATGGAGCCGGTTTCCCAGGCAATCAAGAAGCCGGCCGTTGGGTAATGATACGCTGGCTGGCTTTCTGATTGCCCAGGAAGCCGACGCCATGCTAGCAGAATTACCGGTAGTTGGAATCGGCGAGTACCGATATATAAATATCGGTACTCGATACCGAAAAACCGGTACTGGTGCATCCCTACCGGACACATGTCCACCTGATTTGACAAAGCCTTAAAGAGTTAAGGTGGGTACACATGGACCAAATTTTGATCCATTGGTGACCCTTATCCCCTCGACAGAAGCCAATCATTAGATCAACTTTTGGCAAAGGAACATGTTGGAAAATGGTTGCCTGAATGATCAGCTGCAAGCACTGGGTATTCTGACAGCGGCCGGCCAATCAAATTCAGGGACCATATAATATTAACACACAATCACAGATCAAATGCAAAGGTATCCAAAGTTTTTCATATGCCATATTTTGCGTTTCATTTTTTTCACCAAACTGTTAAATTCAGTAAGGAAGCAGTAACTGTGCAATAAATTTGCAGAAATAGTAAAAATTATGTTCCCTGCAGAGTTTACTTAATTTCTTCTAGGAAACCAACTTAGTATGTAATTTGATCAGGAGTGCCCTAGCCTTTGTACATATATATGCACATCCAGATTCTCTTTTTTAAGCTTCTTTTTTTTAGTATTTTAGCCTAGTCTGTGCACTGAAGGCTCCTCCTGACCGAGGGAAGAGCTGCTGATAAGGGACAAACATTTCTGTATTAATGCTTCATTCTGGGGTGACTAACAAAACCACAATGACTACACAATGCAGGGAAAACAACACATAACGCAAAAGAAAAATCTAGAGAAAGATTATATCACATTTAACGCAAACGTTTACGATACCAAAAACTTTTGCAGCTTTTGTGCATTATCGTACACAAATACACCGCATAAGGCAACTGCCACTCCGATTTATGCTACCAAAAAATATATATTTATCACAGACCAAGCATATGGACATGTCTGTTGTCATTGGTTTGGACTATTCAACCTATTTGAAGCCAATACTACTGAAATGTTTTGAGTTTCAAAACAGGTTCTACTTCACATGGGCAAATTCACAAAAGCAGAGGTAAGGGAAGAAAGATCACAAAACACAGGGGTGGAAGTACCACCTCTTCTAACAAAACCCTTGACTTGGAAATGGAGAGCCAGGTCAGATAAATCGACATTGGTGAAAGATGAGTCAACAAAGTAACCTAGAAACAGAACATGCAGAAATGGAGTAAGAAATAGGTGGGATGGAAAGAGCAATGAATTTACAGTACCAGCTGAGCACTTGTTGCAGTTCCATTCACATACTATTTTAACAATAAGAATCTACAAAGGAACATGAGATCTTTAATTTATGTAAATATTCTTGCTAACTTAAGTACTGTTAAGTGTAAAGAGATTACACGTATTCTATTGTCAAGTTTAACATTGCTACCTTTAATGTTTTATCTGTATAGCTAAACACCACCACATTATCTTACACATGTTACCAACCAATGCAATCAACATCACAACAATTTACTATTCTCAATTACAGTGATATACTTGCATACCCTATAGTCAGAGGCATCCTTTTAATAACTAGTCAAGTAATGCTAGTACAAAAAAACCTTGCTGAATAAAGAACAAACACAGTGGCACTCTTAAATATCCAAAGAGAAGAGTGCAAAGTGCTCTAACACCCAGCAACCAATTAGCAAACAACTTTCAGTTATTGCAGCTGCCAAATCCAATAAAAGGTTATACTGATTGATTGCTGTTAACACGGTTCCTGTAATATGGCTTCATTCAGTTTTACCTGAGCTTATTATACTTTGGTTGCTTTGCAGAGACCCTCCCCAAGACCATCTGTTATTTTTCTGCCTTGGCTTCTGACTTCGTTGAATTGTACGCTTCACCACTGCTTCATGGCGTTCCTTCAAGAGAAAACACAACAAAGCTAGCTGACCGCTGAAGAAAAGTCAGCAGTAGAAATGGCAAACGAAAACAGTTTTACTACACACATTTCTGCAAGTCTTTTTATTGGAAACATAGTAGCCAGAACAAAAGCACGATAGAAGTAGTACAGAGTAATACAAGTTTGCTACTTCTACTGAAAGAAACTTTTGAAAACTGGACATTTTTTGGGCCTTATTTAATAACAAAAGATGTCAAATAAACTGGGACACAACCAAAAACCAACTATTGACACCTCGGCAAAGATCAGACCATTTATGGCTATGCTATTCATGGGAGTGATAGTAATAGAGTCACAAAGCTGCTTTTTTTCCCCCTTTTTCTGTGAGAAGAGGGATATCATGTATTTATTGTCAATACACCACTCCATTGTGTTTGTTTCAAGACAATCTTTGGTGAATCTTTGCTCTGTACATGAAGTGCCAACATTTTCAGAGGCATCTTTCTTCTGTCTGCAGTAAATGGATTACATCACTCTGTAAATATGTTTCTCTGAGGCAGAAGTGAACTTATTGGTAGTATTTGACTATTACATATTTTGTCATTAGGTATTAGTAATTTGCATGAGCAAACAAGCCCATATAATGCTGCTGGAATCTAGTGCATAGATGGGCAGCATTTTTTAACACCTGACCAGTATCCGTTTGATCTGAACGTACAGGGAGTTGTGGAGTGGAAGAACATTAAAAATTGTAAGGCACAGAAGAAAGCTGCAGGGGACTGGGAGCAACAATACAGTTGGGTTGGAGGAGCAATAATGATAAATTTGGTCCTTTAACAAGTCATTTTTTTAAATAAAATATTTGCGGTATCCTATGCAGACTGGTAAGGTTACCAAGAGGTCCACTATAAGTCCATATATTTTTACATATATACAATTGAACAAGTTAAGCACAACTGTGAAACATCGAAACAATTCAAAAGCAATTGTATTTAAGACTATTTGTCATACCCTCAATTCAGCCAATGTTTATACATGCCCCACTGCACTTTTTACAGATTTGTAGGTCGTGTGGTGTGCATTTTTTTTTCTTTTATTGTTTTTCTGTGTTCCTCATATTTACATTCAACAAAAGAAAAAAATAAATTTGAGAAAAGTTTTATGGCAAGCCAAGTGACCTACTTTTTCTTCTTCCAGCTTCTGCCTCCGCTTCTCATCTACAGCAGTGCGCCTCCTTTCCTCTTTAATCCTCTGTTCCTCTAGTTTCTTCCTGCGTTCCTCCATATGCTTCTTAAAATGCTGCCGTGCTCTCATTTCTTTCTCCAGCCATAGATGCTCCCGCGCAACTAACAATGAAAAAGCATATAATCAGATATGAGAAATATGTCTAGGTAATACACATTTTTCTGTAACTGCTGACATTTTTATACTAATTGCTGTGATTCACACAGCAAGGTCATTTAGCTGACATTAATTTCCTGCAGTTATATAATATCATTGACAAGAACTGCCTCTGCAGATTTCACCAAAATGCTTTTGGACTTGAACTGAAATATCTATTTTGGTTCACCATTTAGTTGTAACTAGGCCATAATGCTTTTTTTTTTTTTTTGCAGAAGCTTAATTTGTGACTAAACATAATAAAGTGTTTTTCATATATGTTTGAAAAGGGCAAACAGATCTGAAAGCGTCATGTCTGTGCTTAGCTGGCAACAGTATTATTTTTATTATGCTGAACATCCATACCTGGGAACTTTTGAAAATTGCAATTCCTGAGAATTGAGGCAGGGCAGGGTGTGGGGCTAATAAAAACAGAAAATTGTTCAGCGCTCTCAGGCAATAAGAATGAATGGTATGGGAGTTATTGGGTGGGTGAACAAAATGGTGTGCGGCTCTGAGGAAACAGGCGGAGAGTACCTGTACAAAACTACAAGTAAAATAAAACGAGAGCGAAATCACCTGAATGATTGGATTTTTATGGTATACCTATTTATATTTTTAACTATTTAACCTCAACTGTAATCGATTAGTGTTTCCAACAAAATCAAATACTTCTGATTAGTCCCCCAGATCTTTGTTTTATTAGGGCTCTGCCCTAATAAAACAAAGACATATATTTATGTATATTGAAATAAAAACGTATTAACTCGTTTAACCCAGGTCCATTAAACATCCCGGCTCAGCCGTTAACTGACAGAAGCCCCGCCCACCTGTCACTTTCAAATTCCACAACATCACTTGCGGATACCGAGGCTGTAATATAGGGCACTTCATTCACAGCATGAAAAGCAGCATAGCCCACACTGGACACTACCATCTTCCGTCAAGGCCGCCTGATGCTCAGTCCCCACGAGCATCATGCAAGTAGTCTTTTTCCTCTTTACATAGAGAAAGCTAGTCTCTTTAATAAATGCAACTACGTATCCAAACATTCAGGTGATTGCGCACTCATTGTTTAATTTTAATAATCAAAGCATTGTGTGCTGTGCTTAATGGTTGGTCTGGCCAAACTATTCCTAAAAGCAGGACAGGCTTAAAGGATAGGTCCAAAATCTTCAGTAAAATAGAAATCAATATAAAAAAAAAAGTACAGTTTTATAGGCTGCCACGGACCTCCTAAGGACGTACTAAGGAGAACTTGTATATATTTATTTATTAAAATAAACAGAAAAAAAACCAATACACTAGAACTGTGTTCCTCTAGAAATATATATTAGCATTTGTATGTCAAGGGAGATAACACCACATAATAACAGTTAATTGTATAGATAAGGTTTATGTAATGTTTAATGTAGGGAGATAGCTCAAATTATGATTAAAAAATAATAAAGCAAATAATTTTAGTAATGGAATGTTAATGTAATTTTTAATTATAATAAAGTTCTGCCCCCTTCACATTTACATAAACTTAATATATGCAAATAACCTATAGGTGTGACACACACAGAGCAGCCAAGGAATCTGACTTCAGTAGGAATCTTTGCATAGTGGCCTATTATTTAAAATACTTTTAACAGTGGGATACTATTTTTTTTTCTCCCCAAGGGAAGGATCACTGGCTGAGTGCAGGCAGCGAGATCTGGGTTAAGGGGGCCCAATGGCGTACTGTTTCCACGGCAGGCGAGGCAACTGGTGTAAATGGTACTGTGAAGGACCTGTTTCGGCAGGTCCCCAAAGGATCGGGGGCCACCGGCCTTCGGGTTGGTGGACCAACAGTCTCAACCCCTGTCAGGAGCCTTGCGCCCCAGGGGGGTCGGGAAATGGGTCCCTTCTTTCGAGGGACCTTGCACCCTTGTGCACGTTTTTGTGTGGTGTGATTTCACGGTTGACTTTTTTTGTTCACAGAAGCTAAAGTAGTTCTGCTTTAGCTTGTAATTTTAAGAGCATTGACACTGCTATTCCCCCAACAGGCTGGCAGTACCAGAGATGTTGATAGAGCCAGCAATGACCCGTCAGTGTTGACAAAATTCCTGCATTGTCAGGTCATTTCTGGCTATTCCCAGGCAACCTGAAGTACAATAATAGCAATATGCTCACAACAGAAAAAGGAAAGGGCTTCTAAATAACATCCCATCATCCCATTAAATTAACATTTTTCAGTAGACACATCCAGGGCAGCCATCAGGGAGGTACGGCCGATACTCATGTAAGGGGCCCGGGCAGCCTGGGGGGCCCGCCCGGGACCCTTACATGATTATCGGCCGACGGTGAAGAGCGAGGAGGTGGACGGGCCCCTGCAGCGGAGGCCTGGCCCTAGCAGCGCAGGGCCGCAGCATTGCAGCTCCATCGGCTTCGAGACAAGCTGGGGCCCCATCAGCGAGGCTGCTCGTGACGTCACTTCCGGCCAGTCCGGCGGCAGAGGAGGCTTGGTGTGCAGGTAAGAGGAGCTAGGAAGGAGGGAAGGGGATGCAGCCCTGACCAGCCTACCTTAGAACCCCTTCAGAGCCCACTATAGACAGTCTCAGATGGGCTGTGCAGCATCTATGGTGGGCTCTGCAGGGTCACTCTCAGGTGAGTCCAACGCGTCACTAAGCCCTGAGTCCAGTGCGCCACTAAGCCCTGAGTCCAGCACGTCACTAAGCCCTGCGTCCAGCGGGTCACTAAGCCTTGAGTCCAGCGCATCACTAAGCCCTGAGTCCAACACCTCACCAAGCCCTGCGTCCAGCGAAAAAAAAAGGGCCTAAAGCCGTGTAAGGGGCCCCAAAATTTCTGATTGCTGCCATGGACACACATGAGGGGAAAAATGTGCAGCCCTGGACTTGTCAAGCTCCAAATAAACACAGAACAACAATGTTATCTACTATTACTACTGCTAATAATGGAAGTTCAGTGTTTGCTGAAAGACTGAGTCATATCTATAAACATGCACACCGGTATACACTATAATAAGGAGAGTAATTTAACATCTCATTAAATAAACATGACATTTTGAAGTAATATTATCAGCAGTCCTCAAGATAACCATAATTTACACGGCACTGGAAATGTTAATGGTGGGATTGGTGATGAGGAAATCCAGACAACATTAAAAGCTTCATAAAAACAACACAAGTCAAGAGCTTGGTGGCCTTTTGGCAACAAAGGTCTTTCTGCTTCTAGCCCCTAAATAGGTCAACAACTTTATAAAAGGGAATAATTGAAATCTAACTAAAGGTCTATCTCTGTACTAGATAAATATTAAACTATAAGGAAATTATATGCAAAGATCCTGAGCTATAAACGCTTACAACTTGTACTTTAGACCAACCTGGGTTTGTGCCAGCAAGGAAAGCAAGAGAGAATATATGATTAGTTCATATGATTCAGGATGCTGAATTAAGGAATTTAAATCCGTGAGCTCAGTATGTATTTATGTTATATGTTACTTTAAACAATTTGATTTAAAAAATGAAATTCTTAAGGCCACTACTTTCCAATAAACATTTTTTAACACAAGAATAAAAATCCTAGGAGCTCAGTCAGTGTTTTTTGTCCCATCTTTTGAAACACTTGAGAAGTCTGCCTACTTTCTCCCATGCATTTTGCCCACACAACAAAGGCAATAGCTATGGCCACAAATCCAAGATGAATCTATATTGAGGTGTTATATCTCATACAGACTTCACCACAGCTAAATAATTTCACATCTTTGCAATAACTCTCTTGCATACAAATACACTCTTCCAAATCAGAGACAATAACGGAATATCCCATGCTAAATTCAAAATTTTTAGAGGCCAATTCTGTCTGTTCGTACGCCAACAATACCCGTTCATACATGGGGGATACTCCAGCAAAAGACTAACCTAGTGTTATTTAAAACCAATCTAAACTTGCAGATACTACATCTCATGTCTGGGGAGAGATGCAGAGCTTAAAATGTTAGGTTTACCAATACACTTGCTTTACTTAATGATCCTATCCCTTCCACTAAGTGAATTATGTGTACAACAATTTAAAAATAAATGTAACACGTTTGAAATATGAAAAATCCTAGAACTCATCTCTCAGACTGAGGTGTTTACCTAGCCTCTGGATGTAATTACAGCCAAACTGCAGGCAGATAGCAAGGCACAAATTAAATTAAGACACCATTAAATGTATTTTTTAAATGCAGACAAATTAACCCCTTCAGGACCTTTGGACGTACCTGTGGTCATACCAAGATCATGGCGGTGGCTGCTGCTGCTGTTTTTCTCAGCAGGCAATTCTTGTTTTGTACAAGTGATCTGGAAAGCTGACTGGGGCCAGATCACGTGTAGCAGCCTGAATAGATGGCGAAAATTGTTTCACAATGGACAATCTTAGTGAACTGGCTGCAGTCAAATCTTGCACACTAAAAAAACGTTCATATACTTAATAAAACTATGGACAAATTTCAGCTAATCTGGAAACCCTTAACTGAGACACAATGAGTGCGGTCAGCTTGTGGCCCATCCTGGGGTTCCCCGCTCTTGCTTACTCTACTTTAAACCCAGTGCAGATCACAGCTTGTGGCCTGAGCAACACTTTCCTAAGCTAAATGCCAAGCCCCCTGTTGGCCAACCCTGTCCTGACCTTTGGCTTGTCCCTGACCTTTGATTTGTCTTCCGTATCTGTGCCTGCAGAAGCATATGCTCAAAAGTGCCATTTTCTTGCAGATATAGCGGTGCATCCTATTCCCTCCTCCCCGCTGGGTGCTGCTTTGTGTCCCAGCGGGGAGGAGAGACACTGTCACAGGCGGCCGAGCACTGCGGGAAGAGAGCGCTGTGAGCGGCCGTTGTCTCTCCTCCCACACCGCTCAGCCTCCTGTCACAGATTGGCAGAGCGGTGTGTTGCCGCAGACAGCCAGTGCTGTCACAGCAGGCTGAGCTCCGCTCGCTCACTGACACAGGAAGGAAAACGAGCTACAAACACTCAGAGGTCAGTGATCTCTGAGTGTTTGTAAATAATTGAGGACAGAGTATGTCTACTGTATCCTAAATTATGAATGAAGGGGAAGTGATCTACATTACCTCCTGTTCATTCATGATTGTGGTTATAGTAAACACACTATGTTCTCATGTTATGAATGAACATTAACACTCAGTATAGAGGATTCCTGTTCATCTATAACAGGGGCTGCAGAGTAAGAGATTGAGGACTCTGTCTCCTCAATCTCTTTTTCTATTTTAAAAGGGAAATATCAGGGGTCTGTTTACATTTTCATTTCGGTGCACCTCTAGTTTCCATTGTATATGACATAATAAAAAAGGACAGTGTACAGATGGACTTGCATACCACTACTCTGAATTAATTGATGATTGATATGTGAACTATGATACTGTTTGTGAAAAAAAGAGAACATAAAATGTATATACTTGTGTTAAGGCCAGGAAAAAGTATAAACATAGCATTAGCACAGCTTCTGCCTTGATCAATAACATGATGTGTCTGTTAAGGTCATTTGGAATCACATTTCAACTGTAAATAACAGTAGTGTGCAAGGTATTCTTCGGCTACTATACAAATTGTACATGTTGTGTTCCTGCTTATCCTCCAAGATAGGCTGCACTATAATTTAAAGTGTACCTGTCACAATCCTAATGCAGCAACAGTTCACTTCATAACTACATAGTGCTTTGTTACTGAAAATCATACAGTTGTTCTGTTTTCACTTTCAATGGTTAAAGAAGAACATTAACTGCAAAGGATAAAATCTTAACCCTTGCAGTGTGCTACCCCCACACAGCAAGAGTTAAGTGGTCATTTTGTTTAGGGTGCTAAAATAACAGATATAATATACTCACCCGAACCACGATCCCGGCTGACTTCTAGAACGGTTTCCTTCAGCCTCGCTCCACTCCAGCAGTCTAAGGTCCTGTGAGTCATCACATTCAATACAGTGTATAAATATGAGGATGCAGAGAGACATTCCATCGCCAGTGCGGAGGAGGACAGAGGCTGCAATGGACCGGTATACTAGCCATCACGGTTCGGGTGAGTATATCTGTTATTTTAGCTCTCTGGACAAAATGAGCAATTAACCCTTGCAGTGCAGGGGTAGCACCACTTCAAGGGTTAAGATTTTATTTGCTCAGAGTTTGACGAACATTCCTTTTTCAAAATGAAATATCCATCTGCTGAAAACTGCCACTGTCCTGCTTGCAAGCTTATTGCTAGTTCCAAGGCAGTAAGCTCAGTATCAATGATACTTTAGTGCTCTGGAATAAGTGTGCACCTTCCACCAGAAAAGTACTTGGCTTGATGTCAGATTCCCCTTATAAAGAGGGAACTAATGAACTCTAAGTGTACTGCATTTAAAGCACTACTGTCACCAAATACAATGATATCCTAATGACTAAAGTCGGAATAAAATGTCTTACGTATATTTGATGGAAGTTTAGCTTTAAACCGCTTATTTTGTGTACACCATATCTATAAAAAATGTAAAACACTAAAGAACACTTCACTTAATGAACTTTATTAAGCTAGATTTTCCTGTATCTATTCCTGCATGAATGTCAGTACTAACTAGTGATTCCAAAAACTAGTTCTGTTCTAGTCCAGCGCTGGTGCCGGTCTCTGATCCAGCGCTGGTGCCGGTCTCTGATCCAGCGCTGGTGCCGGTCTCTGATCCAGCGCTGGTGCCGGTCTCTGATCCAGCGCTGGTGCCGGTCTCTGATCCAGCGCTGGTGCCGGTCTCTGATCCAGCGCTGGTGCCGGTCTCTGATCCAGCGCTGGTGCCGGTCTCTGATCCAGCGCTGGTGCCGGTCTCTGATCCAGCGCTGGTGCCGGTCTCTGATCCAGCGCTGGTGCCGGTCTCTGATCCAGCGCAGACTGCTGTTTCTTCCTGTCCTGTGCAGTCTGTCCGATGTGCACGCTCCCGACTGTGTGCATTCACTTTCACTGTAGCTCTCCTCCTCTCCCCTCTGGTCATATGGACTGCACATGTGCCCGCACACATCCTCCTGCACGGCCGCTCGAGAAGCTGAGTTCTACAGCCGGGAGCGAGCGGTGAAGACATGCGCAAGTTTTTACCTACTTGGTAACATTTTAATGTTTTTAAATGTTTCTGCATATATCTACTGCTTGCAAAAACATTTAAAAGCATACAGTCTACACATAAAGAATAATGTTCTGAAATTGAACAATTTTTACCAAGACTGGAATTTGCAACTGTTATGGCTACAGCTGTGAACCTTCTTTGGTATGCTTAAAGTGGGCCTTTGACACAAAAAAAAAGAAAATCACATCAGCATATAGCTCTGCATGCTGATTTAAAATCATCTTACAATCATTAGCTAAACAAACATATTTTTTATTTTACCTACATTTTTTTTTCTGCTTCCTGGTCCACTTTGGCACTAATGAAGTAATGTGCCCATGAATTGCATCCTGGGAAGGTTAAATCAGCAGAGTATTGCTGGGAAATCTCATCTGTAATCTCAGGAAATCTCAGGGAAAGGCATTTTCCTCCCCTGAGATGATAGTGCATGGTCACAGGTCCTAGTCACATGTGCCAGAGTTCCAGGAAGTAACCTGCCCTTAGTTAACATGGCCACTGTGAGAAGACTGGGAAAGAAAAGGTATGCAAAAAATAAAAAGCCTGCAAGTATCTGTTTGTAAACTGTCAACACTAAACATTTCTAAAGGTGCCTTTGGTTTTTTGATGATATGGGTACAGTTCCTCTTCAAGGTCAGAACGACAATGGCTTCTAAGTAAACAGGCACCAGGCATTGTCACCATGACTTCCAGTCATCACACAAGGCTAAAACTTTAAATTCTGTTCTAGGCTTATCAGCAAATATTTAAAGTATATGCAAACGCCATCAATGAACTTCTGCTATTTGCTCCTTTTTGGTCTGATTTGAAAACATTTTGTTATATCTTCAATGAATAAAAACCTGCTGATCTTACCAAAAATCCTGTGCTGTCCTGATTCCTGTGCACTCTGCACTGTTAACATTGCAGGACAGTGAGATCTCTTACCCAGGCCCAGTTCACCTTTGTGGACTACAGTCCCAACCACATTGAGAAGAGAGGTGGAGGAGTTCTGTAGTTCTAAAATACCCCCTGTCCTGGGGCGACAATGATGCTTCTCCATAGATACAGTAAGAGAAATGAGCCTAATGCAGCCACCTCATCTAAGGACTGGTAAGCAGAAATATATCATATTGTTCCTGGCTTTAGGTACACTTTAGAGATGATCTCAAGGCAGATAGGAAATATACTAATGAATACAATGCTGCATTGATTTGTGTATCTTTAAATGTATTACTTTAATTGTAAGCAGGGAAGTACCTGAATTTTAAAAACAGTGTTAGCCTCTTGCAGTCTCCGTGCAGGAGAGCCAAAACTGAGGAAATTGACAAGCAGCCAAATTAGTTGTGCTGCAATGTAGGGAGCATGTGGATGGGAGGAAAGAACAGAGTGACTAAGAGGTAAACTCACCAGTCTGCTGTTTTTCCTTTCACTGTCCAGTCACAGGGTTGGGTTGAAGAGGTGGGAAGGAGACTTGTATGAGTCACTAAATTGCAGCTGAGCAAATTCAGATGTACTCCCTGCCAGGCAAGGTCAAGCATGGAAAAGCTGTGTATATCTCAGAACTGGATGGACATAAATACAAATTGTTGGGCAAGTAAAACAGCCCCCATATATGTATATGATTGGTGTATTTAGCAGTTTGCCAGGAGTTCAACTTTAAGTTTAACTTCAATCACCCTGCTGCATCATTACAGTATATTTCACCGCTGACTAACATATTTTGATAATTTCATAATGCTTTAAAAAAAGTCTAAACCACAATAAAATAGGTCACAATTTCACTATTGAGCCTGTTCTATATTATTTCAAAATAATAAAATCAGAAGAAATTCATGCAAGGATAACATACCCATGAGTTTCTCCTGTTCCTCTCGACGCTCCCGGGCAAGTCTTTGTCTCTCATCAACCTTCAAGACAAGATGAGGTTCTGGAAAAAGCATGAAATGCAAATATCTGTCAGCTAACTCTTGTTAAGCTATATTGAATAGAACCTGCAGCTAGAGTGCATTGATTTTAGCTGCTGGCCTCTGCACTTGGAAAAATAAACATCTCTGTGCATATAGTATTTTATATAGTAATTCATGCCTAACACCCCTTTGTGAGACTGAAGGCCTCTAGTGGTACTCAGCCAATTGAAGATACATATTTCCTTATTTTATTTTTCCTTAAGAAAGGGTACAGTGTTGACCTGCTGAACGTATATAGATGGGAAATATTTTTTTATTTCCAATAGGAGGTAACAGGATATTTGTACTTACTGTAAAATCCATTTACTTGAGTTCATTAAGGGACACAAGATACAGTTATTGTGAGACCATTGGATTATACCGTCTCCTACAGGAGGAATTAGACACTGGGAAACAAACAAGCAGTTGGACAGCCAGGTATAACATTCCCACTCTGAGCATGCTTATGTTTTGTAGAAAAGCAGAAAGAGGAGTAGATAACAAAACACACAGGGGTGGGGCATATTTCCCATAAATAATCCTGTTTTCTTTCTCAATCATTAAAGAACTCCAGGGAAAAAGTTTATGAACCCTTGCAGTTAGGGCCGCTACTGCCCCCGCAAGGGTTTACTGCTCAATGTTGTCTAGTTTATACTTACTTGATCATTCAAACCGGAGACGCAGGGAGTCAGCTCGGCAGTTCGAGTGAGTATAAAACTTTTTTTTTAGCACCTAGACACAAACGAGCAGTTAACCCTTGCAGTGTATGCCAGCCCCACTGCAAGTGTTAACAAACATTTTCCCTGGAGTTCTTCATTAAGAGACACACGATTTATTTATTTGGGTATCTAAAAGCAGCCAAACTGAGCAGTGGGTGACAGTAACGAAATACTAACAGGCACACATTAAAAATAATAAATTAGATATATTTAAAAAATAATAGAAATGGGAACAGACTGCAGCTCAAAGAGATGCCTGAAGGACCTTATGCCCAAAACTGGCATTAGATGAGGTCTGAACATCTACCAGGTAAAACTTAGGGAACGTATGAACAGAAGAACAGGTGGCAGCCCTGCAAATCTGGGAAAAAATTGCCTGATTCTAAAAGCTTCATGAAGAACTCACAGACCGAATAGAGTGAACTTTGACAGAAAAAAGGTGGAGTTACCAAGAGATGATGGCGTAAGAAGCTAGTTTCCCTTTATGGGTACCATCAGGAATAACAAAAAAAAAATACATGTGGCTGAGAGGTAAACCCATGCGGCTTAAACTACATCCAGTGAAAAGAAATAGTATGGGAAACGGACAGATAGATGGAAGAACAATGTGCTGGTTGAGTTGAAAGGTTGAAACCACCTTGAGGCTCCAGGTTTTAATTTCACATTGTCCTTTCGTACAGGATAAGCTGCAAGCTCAAAACACACACTTTGCAGAAGTGACCTTGTGAGTGAGACTGTGCAAGGAAATATTCCTGATAGGTTCAAAGGGTGGTTTTTAAAAGACTGAGAAAACCAGATTCAAGTCCCTGGAGTCACAGGTGGTTGTATATGTGAAGCTACAATACCCCCTTGTCACTGAGATAAGATAGCAAGGGGCGTGATTGGTCCCTTGATCGTAAAAGGCCAAATGCTAATCCAGGCCTTATTACAGAGAGGTCAGAATTCTTCCAACTGAGTACTTTCTGGGGTAGAATCTTCTTTCCACGCACACCAAGCAAAATAAGCTTTCCATGTGCGATGGGAGACTTTGTTGGAGGTAGACTAACTAGCTTTTAGCAACGTGGGACTTAACAAATCAGAGAGACCCCCTATCTTTCAATACCGGGCCGTCAACAGCCATGCCATTAAACCCAGTGACTGTGAAGCAGGATGTAAAGTGGACGTTGGGATAGGAGTTTTGGCTGACTGAAAGAGAGCACAGAGTGTCTGCCAGAAGAGTCATCAGATCACAGCGCCTGTTCAGTTTCCTAATAAACATGGATGCCAGTAAGTCCACATCCAGGGTTCTCCACTTGGGACACAGAACCTGAAAGTATTCCGAAAGTAGGGACCATTCTCCCAGTTCGACACGTGAATGGAGGACAAGGCTGGAATGTAAAGTGCTGCCTGGGCTAGAATCCTTTCTTCTTTTGCTGCAGCAATGCTTCTGGTCTTGACCCAATGGTTCACGTACGCCACTGCGTGGCATTTTGCTTGACTGAATGCTGCTGGGATGACTTTCTAGTCAGGGGTGTCCAGCATTGTAGCGAAATCTCCCAGAGTTCCAGTACAATGACCGGGAGACAAGATTCCTCTGGCAACCAAGTCCTCTGAATAGACAAGCCCTTCAGGCTGGCATCCATTGTTAGGATCTTCTAAGACAGCAGGGAGAAAGATTGCCTCCAGAGATAACCTGATCTTTGGTATCAGGCAAGTCGGTTTGTCTAGAGACTGAATTGATTTGCCCAAACGTCAAAATGTTATGTTGTAGGGGTTTGGAGTTAAACTGAGCAAATGCAACTTCCATAATGGAGGCTACCAAAGCTCAGGACTCTCATGCAGAATCCCACAATGGGAGATTGTTAAGGTATCCCACAATATGAATGCTCTGGGAGCATGGTAAGGCTAGAACTGGTGCTAATAGCTTTGTGAACACTCAGGGTGCGGAAAACGGGCCAAATAGAAGGGCTACAACTGTTGTGTGCTCACAGAAAAACATGCCAGATTTTGGTTTTGGCACAGTAAAAAACCCTGAAACCTTTCTTCCTTTAGAAGAATGGCAGGTTCCGCAAAAGGGTAACAAACGTCTTTCCACTTTTCAAAGTGAGGACATCCATTCTTGACAACCTTCTCCTCCTTCCTGTGGATCCATACCACCCAAACAGACCGGGACCACTGGTAAGACCGCACATCCCTCCTAATACAGCCACCTGAGAGTCCGCACAGCTCACCATAGAAACCGCACGGCCCACCCGAGAGTCTGCACAGCCACCTGAGTGTCTGCAGTATTAGACTAATTGCCATTATTTTTCCTAGACTTGCACATTCAGAGCTAGTTATTACGTTATTATTAAAACAGTAATAATCGAATGCAGAGGCAATTATTTAATATGATACAGAGTAGATACATTTATATAGTCTTACAGATACAACCGACCCTTTGAGGAGAACCATAATGCTGATGCAGCCCACAATAAAATTGAGTTTCACACCCCTGGCCTAATCCATTCCTCTAAGGTTTTACAAATAGACATCATGAGGATGGCAGGTTAGCGAAAACAGTAATTTGGAAAGGGTTTCCAGGCATTTATTAACGGGATCCTTAAACACTGGTGCATCTTCAAAAGGTACGGTCAGTGTTTTATTAAAGTGGGATATAGCCTGATTCACAGTGGGGACAGCCCATTTCTCATCAAAAGTCTCCTCAAACAGATATTGCTCAGTAAAATGTTTTCGAGGTGAGGACTCAGGATTTGTCCAGACTCCATACAGAACAATTTCAAGTAAGGAGTGAACCAAAAATATTTTGAGGCCTCTCAGGGATCCCAGGTGAAGAATAGGACTAGAATCAGGCATGGGTTGTTCCAGTCTTAAGCTGGCTTGCACTGCATCAATAAGAACCAATAAGGTATCTTTAAAATTGGGAGCAAGATCAGCTGATTTTGGCACCACAAGAACAAATTAATCCAGAACAGATTTACGAGACTTCTCATCTGATGGCGCATCCACAACAGAATGCTCAGAAGCCCCTATAGCTGCATCGATAACAGATACAAGTTCTGGAGGAGAAGGCATAGACGTATGCTTACAGCTTCTGCATTCTATAGAAGAACCCCTGTTGAATTTTTACTGCTGTTTGGATGCCCACTGAGGAGATTTACTTTCACTTCTTTTTGGAGTGAGCATAGAGGATACAGACAGTAATAAAAAACTACAAATACGGTATGTTTTAATCTTTCTCCTTTTAATAGAGAAAAAACAAAATCACTTTTATTGCCGTGTCCCCCTGTTCTGGTGACCGCAAAGAAAAACAAATCTCCTCAATAGGGGCAAAAATGGAATTAAAGAAAACTGACTCAGGATGTAAAACTTAGTTCAAAACTAAAAAGATTTTGGCTGAGATAACACAAAGAGCAGAGAGATTGCACAGTTCTTGTGTGTTAAAAAAAAAAGACATTTATTATAATAAAAAGCAATATTGCACTCACAAGGGTAGCAGGGATATCGGGCTTTCAGTATTGCCTTAAAAGAGAACTATGGGGTAAGTGTTTTATCCCATAGTTCTCTTCAGGGTCACAAGACGACATATACTAACCTCCTCCCGTGACCCAAAGCTCAGTATATCGCGGGCTATTATAAAAAAAATCAGTCTCTTAATATGCAAGGTCTGTGCACCCTCTCTGCTCCTTTTGTTGTCACAGTTACAGATTGTCTTTGGCCATTAGCAGCTTCAACACTTAGCTTTTTATTTTTCCTTGGACTGATATAAACTTCAATAAGACCCCGTTCTCCTTGTTTTTTTGCAGAATTCATTATAACAATACTGTGCACTCAAGACTACTTTTCTATATAGGGTTGCTTTAAGCAAACATGCAAATAGCAACTCATTATAGAACCTCAGGTTTTCCCTAACTGAATTATGCTTACCGCAGTAAAGGAGGAAAAGGTGTCTAGTGCATTTAGAAACACTAGTGTACAACACAACATGCAAAAATGTTTTTATTTACCCGATTTTGATAAAGCATGGTCTTTTCTAGGACGACTAAAGTCTGCCTTCTTTTCTTGGTTTTTACCATGAGGACTGTCGGGATCTGAAAAATACAGAGGACATATAAGTATGAAAAGGACATTAAAAAGTAAAGTAAGCAACACTCGACAGCATACAGAGGACATATAAGTATGAAAACTATTTCAAACTACAAGCATCAAAATGTCTTCATCAATAACGTGGACACATCTGTATCACAATTGGTAAGGTGTGTGTGCAAAAACACACTCACTGGTTACTTTATTAGGTACAACTGTTTGTTAATTCAAACATCAAATTAGATAGGTGCACCCTAATACTGTACATAACATAGTATACACGATCAAGAGGTTTAGTTGTCCAACCAAACATTTGAATATGGCTTGCCCATTTGTGTTCAAGCTGAAGGGATAGCCACAACTGCTCGAAAAAACACACTTTTAACAGCTGTTTGCAGAAGGGCATCTGTAAATTCACAACATGTCATACCTAGAAGATAATGGACAGCAGTGGCAGAAGACAAGGCCAAACCCTAGACCCGTCAGATGAGAACTCGAAAATGAAGCTACAGTGGGCAACAGATCATCAAAATTAAATGATCGAAGATATAAAATTAGTTGCTTTCCACTGTGGCATACAGTTGGCACCCATTAGGCCACAAAATACCAATGGGGCATCATTAGAATGCCATAACAATATTTTTACCAAATTAATACTTTTATTTGTAGCTAAAAATGGCCATTGAGTTGGTACATCTATTATTCCCTACTACTGTCACATCTTGTAGCCTGAACGGATTTTAGGTTATAAATGAGCAACTGCTCATGTACTTATGTTTTTGTCCTCTTCTAGGTTCAACACTTCCTTTTATATAAGCTAAACTATGTTAACTGCACCTTTAAATGGAGAACTATGAGGTGAGTGATTTTTCACTCAACCTCATAGTTCGAGCCGACGTGTAACAATGAAACTGTCACACGTCAGCTCAATAGATCGGGAAGTGAGCGAACACATACCACCGCTCATTCACTTCTCGATCATGTCCCTGCAGAGAGCCGTGACTGTCACTCACGGCTCCCCGCAGGGATTCCCCTCCCCAGTCTGATCCTCCAGCGTTGACTGGTGGAACGGACGGGGGAGGGGACAGAAACAGCTGGCTCTGCCTCTAGATAGGCAGAGCCAGCTGTCAATCACACAACTGGGTGGATCTCGACAGTAATGTCGGGATCCGTCCCGGCTGCGGCGGTCTCACTATACTCGCGATATACTGAGCTTTGGGTGATGGGAGGACTCTAGTTTATGTCCTCCCGTGACCCTTAGGAGAACTATGGGGAAAAGCACTTACCCCATAGTTCTCCTTTAATGGTAAGCAACTTTCTGTGAATTACTGCAGTGCTCACCTTAAAGTAACGTTTGATGTGGCCTTGACAATTTCCTAGGCTTATAATAATGTCAATAACAGTAACAAAACAGTGACAATAACTTGCTTATGTACATAGATATTTAATTGTAAATGTCAAACTGTCAGACGTTCCAAAATTAGTCATTTACATTGTATGGTAGATATAACTTGTACATTCGATATGTGGAATATGTAAAAAAAAACTATTGTATGTATACCACAGAGGTTACTTGGTTTGTTAAGGATGCAAATGTACCCAGACTACCTACAAAGTATGTTATTTATTTCCTCATGTCACAGTTGGATCTCTGATACAATGGGTATAAGAAAGAATAAAGATAAAGAACGAAAATGGAGAATGAAATGGAGAATGAAACAAAGAAAGCTTTATTTAATTTTGATTTAGGGTATCCCCTTGGGTTACTTTCAGCTAGTAAGTGCAGGCTCAACTAAAAGTGAAACAAAAAAGAAAATCTTTATTTTGAGTTAAGCGTTCCCCTGGGTTGGTTTCTGACACTAGAGGGCAGTACTTGCCTGCATTCAATACAGAAATTCTGTAGCTATTAATCATGAAGCCATTCAGAGGATGTTCATGTGACTGAACTGGATTTAGAAAGCAAATACAGTCTGTATATCAGGTCTTCCCTCAACTAACCAGGCTATTGGTTTAATCCATTTCCTGGTTTTGCACTAATCAGTGACACTGCATATTATTATAGGCTTTTTTTTTTTTACTGTGGTATATTTATTACACTAAGTTGATGAACCAGTTCTTCTCTAAGCATTTTTTTTCTCAATACGTTTTTGTACACAGTAACATGCTGAGAACATTTCTTAATTGTTACAAATTGTGTTGAAAACCACAAGTTACTGAAAACCAATGACAGGCAAAATAATTAAAGGTTTCAGAGGGGACAACAACGTCCAAAACACAGAATGTAGAAACAAACACAATTGTTGCTGTTGAATAATTCAACAGACATATTTGACAAAGGGAGAGTCCATAGTTGATAAAAAGTCAATAAATGATTTCCATACATCAAAAAACTTTTGAGGACGAGTAACCTTACTAAGCATTGTCTCCGCTCAATAATTTTGAAATACAAACTAAAAAAAAGCTAGCTTATTCAAAAAAAAGGCTAGAGAATGTGGTTCAGAATATATCCATTGATGCAAAATCGTTTTCTTCCCTACCAAAGATATAATAGACAATAGCTTTCTGCATCCAGGAGTGATATTCACTCCATGCAGATCTAGAATTGCAAAGATTGCCCAAATGCGGATTAAGTCACTAACAATGGATGCTGCTCAGTTATGTTTAAAACTTTTAGAATCAGCTGATCTCCTGAGTACTGTCCCTGCTATCCTGTTTTAAGGTAGCTCCTTTCCCTTGCAGGGTCCTATGGAGCCACCGCAGTGTATGCTAGTAAGTTGTGTGTCTGCACACAGCAAAGCAAGCCACTCCTCTACCTCATGCTCCCCTTTCCTGCCTCCTTCTCCAAGCCAGTAGATGGACAGCTGCTGAAGACTGTGGTCCTTGTGATCTTGTACTGGACAGGAAGTTCAGGGAAGCCGAGCTGAGAGAGTTGGAGCCAGCAGTTCAGAAACATGATGCCTGGAGGTGTTTGAGCAAAAACGTATATGGACAATGTTGATCTTGATTCATTATTGAAAAAAAGTTTGAGAGTTTCATATTATTTGAAGCTATGGATTAACTGATGATTTGCCTAATGGTGGAGCATGGAGCTGGTTCTCCTTTACGGGGCTCATTAGGTATGACACAAAAAAAAGTCAGTCTTTCAAATGGAAGCAGTGGCTGCAAGACAGCCAAAAACAGCCTGCAACACCCCAAACAGTGAAGGGATATATCTTTGGGATATATAGGCGCTGGACAAAAGGGACAGAAGTATCAAGTCATGGTTAAGGTAAAGGGCAGAAATCACCTTAGGCCTCAAAACTACTCTGCAGCTGTCCATGTCTAAAGATCAGAAAAGGTTCTTTACACGACAAAATAACTAGTTCAGACAAGCATCTGGCAAACAATATGGCAACAAGGAAGACCTTGTGAACATGAATGGAAAAGGGAATACTCCTTGAAGTTTTAAAGGGCTGGAGAGCCGAAAGAACCAAAATTTAGATCCAATGGAGTTACTGGTGGTTGTACAGGTAAGGCTACATGAAAAGACACCCTGTAAGAATGTTTTAACCATGAGAGGCCAGGGGTCTTTGGAACAGGATAGTAATGGTAGAAATTTGACCCTTGATGGTACTGAGGGCCAAATTAAAAAGGTCAGGATCCTTCCCGCTGAGTATTTTGTGGGATAATAGTTTCTTGCCTTACACCAAGCTAAGTATGCCTTCCGTGCACAAAGGTAGACATTGCAAGGTGTAGATGTTCTAGCTTTCAGGAGTATAAGAATTACAATTAAAAAAAGACCCCCATCTCTTAGGAACTGGGCTTCAACAGTCACATCATCAAAGCCAGCAACTGTGAAGCAGGGTGGTAATTTGGTCTTTGGGACAGAAGATCTGGTCGATTTGGAAGAACACATGGAGAGTCTTTCAAGAGTCTGATAAGTTATCAGTACTACAATTGCCAGAAGCAGTTTAGTGGTCACTGAAGCATCCACTGCCTGTCCAGTTTGTGATTGAACCTGGAGGTCTACATCCGGTGTCACACCCCCCACCTGAAAAACAGGCACTGGGGTCCAGTCATTGCCAACTGAGGTAGTCTGCTTTCCAATTGTCCCCTCCCAGAATGTAAACAGCACACAAGGCTGGAACGTGAAGTTCTGCCCAAGACAGGCCTTTTGCTTCTTGTTTTAATGCAGCAAGATTTCTGGTTCCTCCCAGATGGTTGACGAATGTTGCTGCTGTGGCACTGTCCGACTGAATCCAGATGATATGACCCTGCAGTTGTGAGGCCCAGCATTGTGGGAACAACCCAATCGCTCAGAGCTCCAGAATGTTGATCAGGAGATGAGCTTCCAAGTCCCCCGCACCAATAGGGCGTCCAGGACTTTTTCCCAGCTTGTTAGGCTGGCATTTGCCATGAAAATCTTCCAAGATAACGGAAGGATTTTCCAGACTCCATAGATGGACTCCTGAGTCACCAAAACAGTGATAACCTGGTCTTAGTTGTCAAGTGCATAATTTCATCCAGAGATTGCGGCTTCTTCTCAGCACAGCTAGAATGCTGGCTGCGAAAAAAATTGGGCAAATTGGACTGCCTTGGTCTCTCATGCAAATGTAGAGAGTTGGACACCCACTGGACTATAGAGTCTGAATCTTGATTGAAGAAAAAAACAAAAAACAATCTTGATAAAAGGTAAAACATGTCTAGTAAAGATGGTCTAACTTTTCCCTAAAGAGAAAGCAATGTCCATCCTCTTAGGACACTAGTAAAAAACTGAAACATGGTGGAAGTGGCTAGACCTGCCTGGCTAACGGCTTTCTTTTGTTTGACAGTGTCCAATCACTCCTATAGGCATGTCATAGTGAAACTCTGAATCATGGTAATAAAAAATACTTATTCTGCAAGTCTTACATTTTTTGCAACAATTCCAAAATAACAAATTGGCATAGTTCCCTTGCTTGACTGTAGATTTATTGTATAAAATAATGCTACTTATAGATAACACAGACATATTTTATATATATAT